TCCCAGTAAGTCACTTCTGTTGCTTTATTTTTCATGCTACCTTCTGCCAGTTCCTACTCTGTAGCACAGGGCCACACGAGCACAACCCTCTCCCCCTCCCCCTCTTGTGGCCTTCATTGGCCCACCCGCAACCTCTGTCAGCCCACTTGAGGCCTCCACCAATCCCCCATGCTCCCTAATGCCCACCCACAGCACTCAGGCACAAACACTGTCATTACTGGGGACTTCAGCCTCTTCCCTCTTAAGGACTTGGGCGCCCTGAGGTTCTGACCACATATCCATAACTGCGGGATTTCCTGTTGCTAAGCAATGCAGTGACATAACATTGCACTCAATGACAGCCCTGCTTAGCAATGGCAAACATGATTACAAGTGCCACCAAAACCCAAAGACTGCATTTTTCTCTCTCAATATTATGTAAATTCTTACGCATTTCATTTATTTATCCTTTCCAAATAAGATCCCACACACAATCCCACACCATCTGTTGGAGTTGTACACATCTTAGTTCCACGCTATTTTCCTCAATGATTCCAAATATGATAATCCTATTGTGGCCTGAACAATGAAGTTTGCAGTCTGCAGCTGCCCCTGAGGTTCTTTCCTACACTCTTCTATAAACACGCAGGCCAGTTCATGAACAAAATTACTGCCCCTAGCAGTTTTCACTCCAAATATTTCTTTTTTAAAAACTCCACTGGTGTTAATAATGCAGCAAACAGACAGTAGAGAATTTTACAAAGCTAACTGGCTTCAGAAAAGCATACAAAATTGCCTCAATCCCAATCAAAATCCCACATGCTTTAACTACCATAAAGGGGGAGTGGGGAGGAAGGGTTAGCTGATTGCTTTACATGAACATCAACATTTAAGGTAATTTAGCTCTTGATTGGTCTTGAGTGTTAGCAACCAAGCTAGATCTTCTTCAGGATGACCTGACTCCAACCTAGTCCTTCAGATCTTCCAACTATACACCCATTACTCCTGTAATTGAGCTCATCCATCTTGCTGCTGGTGGTCTCCTTCTTCTCTTTTTCCTAATGTTCTCCAGAGAGCCCTTATATTGCCTTTTAAACAGAAATACTTCAGAGAAAAAATGAAACATCCTACAAAAGGAAGGTTCCACAAGAACCTCGTAGGCAAGAAAAACCAAATGCAAAGGTGTAGAATAGGCGGCGACTGGCTCAATAATAGTAACTGTGAGAGGAATCTTGGAGCCTGCAGCAACCAAAAGAGCCAACAGTCCTGGGCTACATTTAATACTGGAATAGAATCAAGATCACTTGAAGTGTTGATATCACTTTATAACACCTTGATAAGGCCACGGTTGGAATATTGCATCCAGTTTTGGTCGCCACAATATAAAAAAATGTGGAGACTCTAGAAAGAGTGCAGAGAAGAGCAACAAAGTTCATTAGGGGACCCCAGGCTAAAACAGATGAAGAACGATTGCAGAAGTTAAGTATGTCTAGTTCAAAGAAAAGAAGGACTAGGGGAGACATGATAAGAGTGTTCCAATATCCCAGGGGCTGCCACAAAGAAGAGAGGATCAACCCTTCTTCCAAAGCACCTGAAGGCAGGACAAGAACTAATCAAGGAGAGAACCAATCTAGAACTAAGAAGAAATTTCTTGACAGTTAGATCAATTAATCAGTGGAAAAAATTGCTTCCAGGAGTTATAGGTATTCCTTTAACATTGGAGGTTTTTAAGAAGAAATTGGACAACCGATTGTCTGAAACATTATAAGGTTTGCTGCTTGATCAGGGGGTTGAACTAGAAGACTTTCAAGGTCCCTTCCAACTCTGTTATTCTGTTATTCGATTACCTATATATTGCTGGTTATTATAGGATTAGCAAGGCAAATCTTGGGATTTGTTGATTCAGGGCAAGGTGGTAAGAAAGAATTTGCCAAACACCATTACTGGGAATCTGAATTATGGTGCCTCTGTACCTGTTCCCTGAGAGCAAGCAAACAGGGGAAACAATTTCTAATTATATGTTTTACTGAAGCAGTAAATAAGCTATTTATGACATACATTAAAGCTGTAATAATTGATGGCACAGTTTTTGTAGATGGAGGAAACTGTTAAGTAGAAGGACTGCAAGTAATACACAGGAACGTGTCAGATGCTATCTAGCTATTCATATAGCACTGATATCAAATATAGTAGAAACCTGGTTTCTGAGGGTTTCCTTATACATATGCTCTTGATATTATGCTACAATCTTCACCTGTAAGAAAGAGTAATAGTAGATATTAACATAGTAAATTAAGTTGGGGGGGGGAATGGAATAATTTAATGGTGATTAAATTAGATAATTTGGATTAGCGTAAGTACCATTTAAGATGACCTTCTAAATGTATAAAATGTAACTATATCCTGGAAAGGAAAAGATCATACCCCATCATACCATTTACATAACTTTCCAATATAATAACTATTACTATATAAAATCCGATGGTTGCTCGTATTTCTGTTATAAACGCACCTGTCTAGTTACCCAGAATTATAATTTCTAAGCATGTCTAATTGTTTTGTTTTTGTTTTCTAGATTTGCCCTCTATTTCTGACATCTTTATTGCTCAAACCCACTAAGCTAGCATGCTCCCTTCCTTTGCAATTATATGTTATATTTGTTAGCTTCCATGTTGTGCCATTATATTTGTTAAGTTTCCATGTGGTGCTGTTGTAACTGTGCAGTCTAAGATTCAGCTGCCTCTCTTGTTTATCTCTGAGACAGACTGCTCCATAATTTGTCCTAAGCCGCTAATATAGGTATCTCAGTTTTGTTTTAAAATGGCTGAATGTTACTTTCATTCGGTTTTTAATTAGCAATTTATTGTGAATCTGTCTTACAGCAAGCTGATGAGAAGCTAATATTCACCATAAAAACTGTGCAGTTGTAATAACATTTGAATCACTTTAGCCTATAGTGTTTTATTGTTTATAGTATTTCTGATACTATTAAGTATTCACTTACTTCCACTGCAACTGAAACATACTAGCAAATGAATCACCTGCTCATAAAACCCTACTACTGCTTCAGTTACTATACTATTCCTCTTGAACAGCAATGCTGAGCTTCCTTGGGGAAACCTTGGCCTAGAACAGATTTCCATATAACGCAGGTTAAACCTCCATCTCAAAATTCCAAGATTTTCTTGCTACAAAATCTAATATTTATCAACCTTAACAGTAATGCTTCTCCACATTAACACTTTTGTGACTTAGGCTGGAGTTATCTAGGAAAGGAAAGCTTTTCCATTTTTTTTTTCCCCAGAGTGTCCGATATCAAATTCTAGATAGCAAAATGTTGCTCAAGATGAGAAGGGAAATAGCAGATATTCAAGCAAGTTTCAGAAAGATAACAGAGCTGATAATTGAAAGGGCCCCAAAATGTTGAAAATAATATGTACTTCAGCTCTCATAGAAAGGCCTTTGAGTGTGTTGACCATATTAATATCTCCTTAGGAAAAAGGAAGGGACAGGGTGGCTCAGTGGCTAAGGCACTGAGCTTGTTGATAGCCAGTGACACGTGCAGGAGCCTATTAAGAAAAAACATCCACGGGCCAACTATGGAAACATTTGCACTTTTGTTGACTAAAATGCACAAACCTTCATAGTAAATATTATTGTAGTTGAACATGTTGATAAAATACTGAAACAAAGGCATTAAGAAAAACAGAAGGCAAAAATCTAACAACTTTGGTCTGCTCTGTGACGATCAGTCCAATTCAACCCTCTATACATCATCTATTTTCAAAATTAAATGTTCACCTTCCATTCAGATGACCTGCGTTTCCACAGAGAAGGCTACTAAGCCTACACGTTGTGCACGACTAATGACTACAACTGAGATGTGAGTTTCTGGTATAAATTAATGCAATTGTAAAGTGAGTCATCAGGTGACAGGACCAGCTCTTGCAACCATGGTGGTTACACAAATCACATGGTCATTAAGCAAATCCATTCCCTGTTGGGACTTTTTTTGTAAGAAGCTAGCTGGGAAGAGGACATTGAAGCTGGAGGCCACTCAGTTGCCCAGCACCCCAACTGCAGTCAATTGATCAGCCTGAAGTGCCAAGGCAGGGTCATAAATCACTTTTTCTGAAATCACTGTAACTTTGAACCCCCATTAAATGAATGGTCGTAAGTCAAGGATTATCTATATTCTACTTTATTTCTGAATCAAACCTTCCAAGAATCATCTGCAATAGGCTCGACATGTTTTAGCCCTTGAAGAACACCCAGAAGGTTCAACAGAACCAGAATATTCTTGCATAGACCATCTTTTATCTTTATATGTTTTGATTTTAATTCTAGTTTGCCTATTGTGAGCCACTCAGAATTGTAGAGAGTTGGCTGGCATATAAATCTAATTAATTAATATTAATAATCATCCCAGTCCAATACTTCATATTTTCTGGTACTCATCCTATGGCCTCCATCCTCTACTACTTCTAACTTATTAACCAAAGGTATACAACACAACGTACGTTAAATTTACCTTGAATCAAGGCAAATGCAAAAGCAAAAGTATAATGCAAAAAGCCTCATAATAAGGTTAGGATGAAAATTCACACATACATTAATATACACCTTGTTATGTTGCAACTCTGCTTTTCCTCTGGGTCAGTTAGAAGATGAATTCCTATTAATTAGCACCAGGCCTTCACTTCATTATCATAAGGCAATTTCATTTGCAGCTGCTGTGTCAATTTTTCTCTTTAAAAAAAAGTTACACAACCATTTACATAACCTGCCAAGCTAGGCAAAACTACGCAGCATTTGTAAAATATCTCATTAAAACAATTTCTCTCATATAGGGGAAAAAAAATAGTCTTTAATGTCAACTACGCTTATTGTGATGGCAGCATATACCCAATACATCCATACCCATCAAAGCTTTCTAGCTATAGTGAGATCTACCATTTTTAACCAATAATTACCAATCCAAGAAAGGAGACAGGCCTTTGTTTTTCTACATAGCGGCTTACCTTAGGATGCAGAGACATACTTTGCCTCCTGATGTTAAACGACAAAATCCAAATCTTTGCTTGCTTTCAATGTCAGTGAGCACAAAAGTAAAATGCTGTCCGACATGCGTTACCCTGGGAGGGGAGAAAAACTGTGTTAGGAGGCACATCCTTTAACGCTAAAAAGCAAACATGCTTACAATTAATGTTAATACTATTAGGTTAATTGTTGTCATAAAATAGTTTCATAAAATAAAATAAAAACATTTTAAATCAAATCTAAGTAACATAGAAATTAATATGAAAAGACTTTGGAGTGAACAGGCATAGAACTATGTAGAACAGTAGTCTTCACTTAGCACAGGGGTATCAAACCGGTGGCCCACGGGACAGATGCATAATGCGCAGGCCACATCCACTCTGGTTCCGCAAAGGCAAAAAAAGTTACAATACGTCACATGATGTCACA